CACGTTTGACGTGTTCATCTACAAAAAACCACAGAAAGGTCCTCAAAACCATTCAACTTTTGTTCGTAACATTTTTAGTGTCACAATAACTTCGCACATATTCAAGACGATTTATTAAAGTGTACACCCTGGACTTATTCTTCTGATACCGAAAAAAATGTAGGATATTTTAAGGAACTTTAAATCTTTAACAAAGAGAAAATACTATCTAACTCACTATTTTATTTTTTGCACCTAATTTATGTTCTGTGCAGCTTTTTGATGTATTATAGTATGTTCATCGAGAGGTTAATAGAAAAATGTAATAATTATTTAGAAAAGACGTTTCATCTCCAATTTTAGTAACCGTGGAATAAATTACCGGGATATAATTATGAACAAATTTATCCTATACATATTACTGCTATTCGACCTTAGTTTCCAAGATATAGACGAAAATATTTTTAACGCTATGCGTTCCATGTTATGCATTTTTTGGGTGTAGAGTAAATTTCAGTTCAATTACAGTTAGGTTCGTCTTGCATTTAGATTTTTTAATGAATAAAGTACTAACTATAATTAACAATTATGAAATTTATTAGCAACGGGTTAACGAGGTTCTTTTTCTAAATAATTACTAACAATTTTAATTGATATTTACTTTTATATAGACTCGGAGTTTACCTAACAAGGGAAATTATCGAACCTAGAAATTCAAAAAATTATGAAACTTTGTGTGTAAGTAGAGTAAGTCGTGCCTAATATATTGCAATTCTTTTTATGTCGAATCTCACTTTGAAGGGGTGAGACCAGCCCTTGAAAAAAATTGAGCCCTTGAAAAATAAAACGGTCAGAGATGGCGAAAAAAAGTTAAACAAAAAATACATTATTCTTTAACGTTTTTTTCAAAAATTTGAACTTCTTGAAAAATGTTACTTTGCAGTTTTATAGACGTAAAAGAGCAATGTATTTTTTGTTTTACATATATTTTATTTGCAGTTAAAGTTTCTACTTACTAGTAAAATAATCTATATCTTAATGAGTGGAAAAAAATTGAAGGATATTCGTAGAAAACGTTGTAAATGCTGAATTTAAAATTTTTGTCTAACGTTGCGTCGAACGTATTGGTAGGCCTAACGACTGAAATTACTTCACTATTTTAAAATGAAGGTCGAAATAGCACGAAAGGTAGAAAAAATGATTGATAGGTAACTGTCATCGAGATGAGTTCAATGATGGATGACATTATGAACACATTCTCTATTTAAAGAGAATGATCTTTAAGGAGATTTAACTTAAAGATTAAAATATCATATAGATTACTCCGAAGATTGTTGTTAAAACGGAAATTTTTCAATGCCCACAATACCTATAAACGTATATTTTGAAAGCATACACTCTTCTTGTTCATCGTTTTCAAATGTAATCTTCAAATGTAAAATTGTTCATGCTGTTCACAAGTAATAAATCTATTCGCAAGGTGCAGTGTTGCCTTACACCTGTTGCAACGTGTCGAGTTAACACAAAAAGCGGATGAGGATTAAGACATATCATGCTATCTTCAAATCTCCGCAGGAAGAAAAGAATCATTACACTATTACAAGTTTTTCCCAACTTTTTGTCACACGTATAATAAGTGCCATTTTTTCATAGAAAAATTTCTTCACGATAGTAATGATTAATTGATAATAATTAAGTAAATTACACTAATGATTTCCTGCCACTTTCTAAGAATCTAGGTAAACTTCAAGTTTTTGTTCACGATTGATAAGTTTCAAAGTTTGAAAACATATACCATTTTTATGAAAATTGTGTTGCATGAATTACTGAAGTAATCTCACTTTAAAAGGGTAACATAAAGTGTATGTAAATGTATGTAAATGACCATACATCATATGTGCTATAAAAATTTAATTACAAACATTTCATTTAACAACACTGACTCATCTACGGAAGAAACGTGACTTTTCAAAACGTCAATGTTCAATCATATCCACTTTAAATCATGAAAAAAAAACGTTATATGTTCACGATGAACGGTCTAAACTCCAACACTTTCTTATTCACACGTTACGTGCCAGACCGATTTCTGAACACTTTCCGTAGAGGCAAATACACCCCACGCTTTACGATTAAATTGTTTTGCTCTTGACCTATGCCTTACAATTTTTACAGTAGTACAAAGTCCATAACTAACAAGAAAAGGGTGCAGAGATTAAGATGCATACAAATTTTCTTTTATTGACTTCACAACAAATTATTGAAAATTTGTTCGTTTCACAATAAGAATATCAAATAGCCTGAACGAAAAGTTCAGCGCATACGTCCCACACGACACGGAACGTATTAACAAATGCAATTATAATCCGAGAAAGGATTTCGCTTGCCATAAAAGCTAAAAAGTCAGGGAAGCAAGAGGACACTTCTACTTACAATGTTCGGGCCTCCTCATTCTTCCACACATGGTCATTATTTGCACGCGGCAATAACAAAGGATAGAAGCGAGACCAAATGCGACAAAGTGAGTGTAACAATAGAAAATAAAATTCGTAGTTTCACCAACTTCATTCTCAATCGTTACATCTCACTCCGTCGCATTCGATCTCGTTTCCATCCTTTGTTATTGCCGCACAACAATAATGACCATGCGTGGAAGACCGAGACGAACATCGTGAGAAGAAATGCCCCCTTGCCTCCCTAACTTTTCAGCTTTTAAGACAAGCAAAGTCATTTCTCCGTCGGACTATAATATAATTATACTAATCAACTAGTCTCGAAGCAAATGCAATGCAATTGCACTTTTCATCCTTGTCTGTCATCGAGAATTTCCATTTACGTGATTGGTTTATTCCTCGCTCTGGATTACTTATCGCATAAAAATTAGTAGATACTGATTCATAGCGAGACAAGTTGTTGAATATTCAGATCTAACTGTCTAAAAACTGATGTTCCGCGTACGCTTTGCGCAAATACCGTAATAATCAGCCAGATAAATCACTGATTTCCGTACAGCTCGAAGAGCAGTAACAATGCCCTACTCTCGAAGCAATGAACAGTCGAAGACTACGAAACTATTCGGTTGGGAAATGTGCAAACACGATTGCGAATGTTACTTATTAGTAGATTCCGAATTTTTATGCATTCATGAGAAATTTGAAAGTATAACGTTACACAAAACACGCACGATACAAAAATTATATAAAATATTCTAAATATAGTACTTTATATAACGTTCGTTAAGAGGAACTATTTTCTGTAATATTATAATTCTGTTTCTCTAAATATATTCTTAAAAATTTTAATTTACATAAAAATCCGCAATGTACTTACTAAGTTGTGCATACAATATTTCTTTCTCTCTATCAATTGACTCGAACACATTTTTAATAATTTATTCATAATTGTTTATAATAGTCTATAAAAGGATGTATAAGATAATAAAATAAAAATCTGATATTCAAATAATTTTTACGAACTTACGACAATAAATTTTGGAACAATACAGCAACTTTAATAATATGATATAATTGCATGTACATTGTTAATACGTTTATTAATAGATTTTTTATAGAATAGTATTAATATTTAATGTAATTTTTGCTACAGTTTGAATTTTTGTATGTTTTGTAGGTTTCTGCTTGATATATGGTATACGTTAAACTTTTTTATAGCAAAAAGTTAATAAAAGAAACTAATTATATCCAATATTAATCAATGCATGTGAAGAAGATTCTGGAGAAAAATTGAAAACAGTTTGATACTCGAAAAAAATGAAAATAAAAATAATGAACTAAAAGAATAAACCGCAATGTAACGAACACTATTATGCACGTATTAATATAGCCTTTTTATATCATTTTATGCTTGAGTGATCATATCTCTTACATGCAGATACATACTTTAATTTACTAAACACGTCAGCAAACATTAAGTAATAGTACAAATAATAATAATTCTGAATTAAACACAAGCCACTGAATTATGTAACTATTAAATGTTTCATCTTACAGTAATTACATCCTTACTCAAGATTTCCATTAATTTTCTCAACAAGTCCTTCATTTAACCGTATTATGTCTATACCAGTATAAAATCAATCATATTTACATCTGCTACAATAGCAATTAGAACCAATAGCTTTCATACATGTTTAATGATGCTCACATGTCTAATTATTAACAAAAAACAACATGATTAATACATACGAGATTTTATAAAGCAACTAAAATAACTTGTGTACAACTTCATACAAAAATTAAGATAATTTTTCGAGATTCCATGTACTCATTAATGTATATTCTAATGTATATCAATAAGATATCTAATAAGATTGGTACGCATAAAATGCCGGTTTTACTAGTGATATTCGATTAACCTTTTCCGAATGACAAATTTTAGTAGTGGTTAACATTTACACATTAAGTTAGCATTGCGACCGCTGCCCTTTTTAAATGACATTACCTTCTTCGTTGATAAAACAATGTAAAGTCGACTTGCATTTGAACTTTACAAAACTTTATTCAACATTCTGTTAAAGATAACTTTTTAATTAAAAGAATCTGTCAACAAAACAATTAATATAATACCTCAAATATTGTTCGAAACTTTATTTTCAAGAATTCTGATTTTTAGTAACGGTGAACACGCGACAGTAATGCACTTTGTTACAACAAAATTTCAACATTTCATACGTACGGATATAAATACTTCCACTATTAATATTTTGGTGGCTAGTATCACGCCAACGGTGATTTCGCTGTTCTCAGGCTTACCTTTCCAAATGAAAATATTCATACTAAAAGCTTGATCGAAAACATGTTTCCAATAGTAAAACCAAAAAACATTGTATTTCACGGTTGATATAACGATACTTTTACTTTACTTCTGTGGCTACTGATCGTAAAAGTTTTCAGGAAATGCCAACGGTAAGTGATAAATTGTGCAATAAACTGAGCCGCGACGAACGCGTTAACGACTGAGAAAATGAAGAAATCGCAGGGAAACTGAGACAAATCGTGTACCTTTGGTCGGCAGTGAGATTCTCGAGTTCTGGTACCCAACACCAATGCTCGTCCGGTATCAGCGTGATGAAGATCTGAGAGAAATAGACCCAGGCGACGAACGAAGCGAAGGGGATCATCAGAATGAACAGAATCTTTTGGTAAAGTCCGAACTCGCCGACGTAAGGCAACAAATCGTCGAAATCCATGTCCCTAGTCTCGTCCATCTCTTTTGTGTTCTGATTAGACCCAGGCACATCCAAGTTCAATGAGTTTTGGCAGGCGGTCGTGTTGCTCTCGTGGCCCTTATCCATTCGGACAGGTGTCTCAAACTTCTCCTGGGGCGGCATCTCCACTCGAAACGAACGCGTCGATCACTAGAATGAAGAACACCTCGAGCGTGAAATCGAAACAGCCCCCTTTAATATTTCTATAAATCCCCGACGTCACTGAACACAATCACTGTCCCTCGGCCGAATCGTGCGCCGCGATATCGCGCGTCTCCCAATGCATCGTTCTGATTTCGTGTCAGTAAACAAAACTTCGAGATGGATTTATACGGCTAGGAACGCGCGGTTTTCCTTATCTAATTCTTTTTAAAAGATCCGTATCGCGCGCGCGAACGATTCTAAATGTTGTTTGTCGTCGTCATCGCGAGAATCCGTGGAAAGTAACAGCGGAACCGATGAATGGAACTCAGGCTTGCCGGACACTGCCAGGGGAAAAAATGGGCAAATCCTGAGTGAAGACTTTGAAACTGAAATGATCGGTTCTGTAGCTGGCTATATAGCCACCGACAGATAGGTACTCCCTCTCTTTTCCCTTGCGAGTAGAATTCAGTGCTCTGCAAGTGGCATTGAGCAGAGCGCGGTTCGTGTCAATCATCTTTGCCGCTGGTCACCAGCTAATTTCTTTCACGCTCTCCCGGAAGACAGTGACTCCTCTCTTCTTAAATATCGTTACCTTAACAGGTTCCCCTCTCTATTCGGTCTGTACCCGATAAAGTATCTCGCGTGTAAAATACTGTATCACACTTCGGTTTTAGAAGATCGCGCGCAGACGAGCACGGTTTAAATTTAGCGCTAATCGATCGAAGCAACCCGCTAGTAGGGTATGTGTTAAAGCGATACAACGTATTTTGTATAGAAATATAGGAAATATCGCAGGGTTTCCAAGGGATTATTTTCCCGAAACAACTATGATAAACGTGTTACGTTTAATAAGACAAAGGAACATTTTACTGAAATGGCGTAAAATATTCTTTAAATAGAAGGATTTTAATGGATTTGATTGTATTTAAACAGATGTAATGGTATACAAAGGCGTTGAATGCATTAATTTCTGAGATAATTTTAATCTTTATTATAAGATACGATTTTATCCGAGTTTATGATTCTAATTCTATGGATAGTTTCATGTTTATTCAAAATTATTATTAAACTGCGAGTTCTGTATACTTATAGACCGCACGATTTCCTGGATAACAATATAGGAACATGTTTAATAGAATTTAACGAAGTTTATAATATAATAATTGGATTGTTGAATAACAGTCTCTAAAAATTAGTATTAAAGATTACAAAAGCAATCTTTTTTATACTTTTTAAACAATTGTATATTTTTCAACCCAATCTTCTACATTCTTATTTGTCAAAATTAAATCCTCGTCAGATTTTGCACAAAGAAAATTAAGCAGTTGGAACAGTACTGTTTCCTTCTCAATTTTCTTTGTCTAATTAATATGGACAATTCATTAAATTTATTACATACTTCATTTTTGTAACATAAAGCACAAGGAACGCGTCAGTCGTTTTTTCTTCTGTCACTGAAATTCAAAGGATACCGCAAACAACGACTTCCTGAAGTGCTACTACTTCCTATATGTTTAGACGTGATCCGAACAATTCTCTCACAAATAAACCCCCAATTTGAAAGAAATAGAGATTCTCTGATGAAATAAGTGAACTCAAGTAGTTATAGATAACTACGTAAGTAAATGTTTCATAAAAAAAAGTTAAAACTTGAAAAATGAATAACTGTGAGTGACTCGAAATCTTTAATCGTCCGTATATCTAACATGTAATTATATATACATCAAGGTAAGGATGAACAATGGGATGAATAGAGTGATTCTCATAATTATATGGGCATTATTATAAATTGCAAGTTTTACGCATTTATAAAATACATTTATAAGTACATGATGGTTTGAATCTCTCAAAGAAATATTGGAGATTATGCGCACATATGCATACATAAGGATAATCCATTAAATCTTCCGTGTGGAACCTGTTCCAGGAGGCATAGAATACTGTGCGTGGCATAGTTCCGTCTTTTTAATCTTACTAAACCCCTTTCACTGTCTATGCCACACAGCCGACACCTTATACACATTTCGTTAGCAACAGAAAAGGAGAAAATATTTAACCTTCTAACAATTTCAGTGTACATAGTCACTTAATAGAATTAATTTTATTTTATTTTAAAAGAGTTTGAATAATCACAAATAGAGAAAAAAGAAATAATTTGCAATAAAAAATATAATATGGCTTATTGACATTTAATTTGGAAATTTAGATAAGTATATTTGTTTCATCAAACTATAAGAAACATTTCTAACGAATCCTCAGTTACTTATTGAAAAAAAACATGCAAAATCTTTTGTGATTTTATGAGAAGAAAGTAAGTCATATAAAAGTTTGTAATATCTGCATTATATTCTATCAAAATTTCTTTGCTTTTGGTAACAATTACACTTTTCCTCTTTTATATGTGATTTATTTTGAATAATTTTTACTCTGATATTTAACAATAGATTGATACATTTAACATTGTATTACATTCCTATAATAACATATACAATTTATATGCTTAAAATTTATGAAGTTTCTCAATTTACATACCTAATAACTGACTATAGGTAGGTATCAACTCACTTGTATAGAGTGGATGATTAAGAAGTAAGTTTTACGTAGCCAGTTTGTCAACATAGTCAACATATACACATGCGCACTTGAACAATTATAATGGCAATTTTACGCCCATAGAATACAATTTTCTGTCAAAAAACTTGTCTGATATCTACATTATCAAGTGATCAGTAAATCACTGTCTATAATGTCAGTGCAATTAAACCTTTTTAATAGCTATTGTTATTGGGAAGTATTAATCAATTAAATAATTAAGTACGTTTAGTTATAATCACTTATTTTGGTACACAAACATTAGCATTCTTTTGGTAATAGTAAGGTATAAACAAATTATTATAAAATACTAACACAGTTCTGTTTGTAAAATATTTGCAATATAAATCTTAATAAATGACACAGTCATTGATTATTATGAAAAACAATACATTTATGAAACAGAGCATATATTTATATTTAAAGATATTTAACCGAACAACATCGTGGTAAGTATATTAATTTTTTTTTCCATTTTTTGTATATTCATGTTTTCATTACAAATGATATTTCAAATATCTATTAACTATCAAAAGTAAAAGATACCGCATATTCTTAAATGAAAATTCATACAGATTTAAACATCGATATTGTAACGTTTTGTTAAATATATTAATTCTGTACAATTAAAGCCATTTAAGTCCTTGCATACTGAACATTAAAGTCATTAAAGAACATTATCCCTGATCATGAAAATTCAACAACTTTTCTGAAATTTTTATATAATTCTAATAGGATTATAAGTTGTTCGCAAAATGATTTGTATGAAAAAACTGTCATGAAGCTTATCAATTTACTCTCTGTATGTAGATAGTGGAAGTTCAGTGGCAGTAAATTTGATTGCAGCTTCCTACGTTTCAGTGTCATTTTGATTACATTATAATCTAATAACTATTTACAATACTAATGCTGTATAAGGCCCATACAGTATAGTAAATATTTTTTACGACAATTTTTCTTTATATTATAGCAAAGCTTTACTTAGTTTAACTAAATGATCATGATTTAAAATATATATTTATAATTTATGATCGTGCTCTTTACGAAATATATTTTGAAATGAATAAGTTTTGATATAATTGAGAACAAATTAAATATGCCTACCATGAAATTCGTATATTTTATATCTCAATAAAGTTAATATACAATAATTAAGTATGTAATTTGAATAATTTTTAAACATTTGACTTAGCTTCGCTAATTAGGCTGAACAGAGGTGTGCATAGTTAATTCAATGGTCTTTATTTGTAAACTTAATAGTAATTGTATTGTGTTTTTCTAATAACACACTCAGAGAATCACGTAAAGACAATACTAACTAGTAATAATGCGTTGAGACTTCTCAATCACACTAATGTTTTCTTTCTGTATAAAAATCAAGGGCGTTTATCAGATATCTTCTCTTTGAAAAGGCATCTATGTTATTTGTACAAAAAACAAGTGAAAATAGTCCGTTTCTTTTTTTCTTTTCTTTTTCTTTTTAAATTGCAAATACACTTGGTGAACATTGTTTTATATTGTGTCAAGTAAGTTGAATTAGTTATTAATTTCATATTATAAAATTACACTGCTTATAATTAATATACTACTAAAAATATTCTATGTAATACTACTGTATAGTAGTGTATACGTAATATATATATTAATATTACTATATTGATATATACAATAATAATACACAGTAGCATCACATAGTACTAATAAGAGCCTGTATTCCAGTTAGTTATACTTACTCCTTAGAATTTTTCTACAGTTTTTGTGTATTTATTTATCAAGCTCCTTCAATTCTGACTTGACTTTTGAAAATGGTATTATTGAAAGTCTGTTCTTACTTGTTGATAAAAACTTTAAAATTTAAGTAAAACGAAATTCATTATTTCAATCCTAAAATCATCAAAAAAATTTCATAAAATGTTAATAGATACATTTCTAGAATTATTAGATACATATTTCTTAAAAAGCTCGTTTAATATAAAAACTTATGAAAATTTTACATAGCCTCGCAAGGGAGTTATTTTGTATCAATATGTAGTGTTTAACAGTTTCACAAATTATTAAAATACGTTTAGTGTATATAGACTTTATACTGATATAGCACCCAGTAGAATTATATAACGCATGAATAAAATACTTCTGTATGACTCTTATTAGTTTATCTTTGTTTTACTTTTTATAGTGAAAGATTCACAATGGCTTCAAAATTTCAGTAATTAACATTTTTTTCCTTTATCACACATGATAAAACAGTAGGGTACAAAACGTCCAGAAGACATTTTACTATTTCAAATGATTGATCTAACCCGATTGTTACTTTTTGAAATGTTATATTCGCAATAAATCATCGGAAAAAGAAAATACAAATTTGAATATTACAATAACGCGCAATGAACATATCTAACGTTTCTTATGTACAATATATTAATACCCATAAAATGGATGCAAGGATAAAATGTTAAATCAAAACAAACCTCTCCTATAACTTCAGGAACTTAGTTTTGTTCAGTTATCTTTACTTTTGATTATTCACAGTAAAATTTGTTACACCAACAGTCACAGTAGTGTCAGAAAATGGTTTACTCATAGATAGGATATCTTAAAATATTTTTAAAAATGCGGGTATTACCTGATCGTATTTAAAAATGAAAATAGACGGGTAAAATCAACCTTAAACTATGCAGTAGCGGCAAGCTCCTTGTGTAGAAAAGCTTCAATATCCACCCGACATATAGGACAGCGTGTATTGGTGCGCAACCACTGATCGACGCAATCTATGTGAAATAAATGCATACATGGAAGCCTCCTGCACAAAAAAGATGCAAAAAAATATCAATTTTATAGCTGTGAAATTATAAATTACTTTGTTTTTATAATAATTCGTACAGGATATTCCAGAATTAGTACTACAACTCAGATAAGGTAACAAAGAAAATAAATAAAAACTTAACAAATGAATTTTATTCTATAATGTTTTAAACTTATTTTCGATGTAAATCACTATCCATTTTACCTATTCTGGAATATTTTTCTCAAATACGTATATATATAACATTTTATACCTGACACATTCACAGTCCTCAAACTCGGACAAACATATAGTACATTTTTCAAGAGCACTTTCACCATTCTCAACTTTCTTAACCTGGAAAAAAATGATTATTAAAGATAATAGTATCATAAAATAATCAATATATATGTTCTAAAATAAGCAGTTTTATAATATCATTTTAACAGTTTAATAAAAATAAATAAGCATCAAAAAAATTTTTTCGTAAGACCAAATATACAAGTAAGTAGTACTTCAACATTACTTTTATAGAAAACCTATATATGCACATAAACTTGTAATCATTTACCCGTTTGTACTTGTGAGGGAATGTATTCCTTTCAATCGACTCCTGTGTAGCTCCACAACTAAACATTCGCCGTAAATTTACGAGATGTATGTAATCTTCGTCAAGTCGTAATGGAGGTGGAAATTGCATCAAACGTTGTAACGGCCTCAGCATATCCTGCGTATCGGACTCCTGCTAAATGTTTGGATATATGTATACATTGTATAATGTAACATAAATGATCTAATTCAAAAATATTACTAAAAAAAAATGTACCACAAGATTAAGAGGACGCATATCATCAGTTAAATGGTGTTGGTTCATTTCTGGTCTGTGACGTGGACGATCAGAATGAGACAACGGATGAAGAGACCTAGACGGCAACATTTCAGGTCTTGGTTCCACTACAACAAATTCCTTGAAAAAAGAAATTCAATGTTTTACGCTTAACAGAATTATGTGAAATAGTTTTTTCAAGACTATAATAAAAATACCATTGCACGTATATCCGGATGATTATAAACAATACGTCGTAGAGGTGGTGCTAAAACTGGGCGCGAAATAGGTCTAAAAACGTGTGGGTTTACGCTATTACATATATGTGGTTGACGTATGATTCGACCACATGGCAGTGTGCTACTAAATAAGAAAAATTCATTATAATATTACATAATACAATATAAATTATCTAAATTTTTTTCACGACACTAACGCATGGTGAGATGAAGTTCCTCCATAGAAATGTCGCCTGCGTATTTCCTGTATATCCTGTTGAATCCTCCATAGTTCTTCTTGTAGAGGATGCATACGTGTCCTCTGTATTCCTTCAATAACAGCTATAACAATTATATTTATGTGAAAAATATGTATATATAACATTTAATATACATAAAACCTTTAATGTAATAGAAATGTACTGTTTGCTTCTTGCAAGCATAGTAGCTTCCTAAGGTTTAAAAGTGTACAGGGGCAATGGGAATCAGCTTCACGCTTCACCTCAGTCCTTCCAAGAAACATAATACAGTGAACATTGGTGCACTTTTAAACCTTAGGTCGCTATTATGTTCGAAAAAGGTGAACAGTAACCTTACGTGGCATTTGGCTGTGCATTACAGGTGTAATTGGTGGACCATGCCTACAGTAAAAGCTGTTCTCGCTAAAATAAATATTAATTATAGTAAATGACACAAAATATACAATAAATATAAATACAATAACAAAATCAATTCCATACTTATGTATATAATCTGCTGGACGTGGATTTACCACAGGAGTTGTTGATGTAGAGGGAGCATGTTCTTCATCGGATTCAACAGTTAAATCAACCACCGTTACTGGACGATTGTTTTCTCCATTATTTTGTACAGAATTTTGCTAAATAATAATTTCACATTGAATATATAATACTAACCAATAAACTGTGTGCACGCACGTGTGTACCTAAATATAATTAAATTTTCTTACTTTATTATTATGATTTACTGTTCCAAGGACTTCAACTGACCCATCTTCATCATCACTACTAGAAGACCAATCTAATTGTAGATCTGGTGCTGATGGTGCATCATCATTACCTAATCAATGAAAACATAATTATTACATAATTCATTTTTAGTGTAATTAAAAATAATCATAAAAATATGATTTTACTTATTGGGCGAGTATATTGTTGAGAATTAATTGTATTTGGCAAAATTTGGTGGTAAAATGTATTGGATTCATTGGCACTATTATTTTCATTATTTTGCGGGACTTGATTTAATATGTTTCCATTGTTGATTGTTGATCTAATTGTGCTGGAAAGAAAACTAGTACAAAAAGGTACAGAAATAGTTAAATAAAATTAAATTCTGATTATTAATACCTCTTACCTATTAGGAATACCATCTGATAATCTTGATGGGCCAGCTATACTTAAACTATCAGATTGTTGATCACTCATTGACTTATGGATTTCGCTTTTTTTACTTTCAGGTTTCACTGGTGGATCTCGCTCATGTAAAAATCTTTTGCAATAATTTCCACAAGCTCTTCCACCATATATATTCCTTAATTGTTGCCTATAATCATGTCGCCAATAATGATGAGGATCTCCTGTTGTTTCAGGTGTAGTCAAATAACTTCCAAAAACAAAATTGCTAGCTGAAGTAGGATGTGGCGGAGGATGTACATAAGGATTAATAGGAGTTACTTCAGATTCTTCTATATCGCTTTCTGCAAATAAATGTTCGTACTCCATTTCATTACCTACAATGAATAAAATCATTAGCAAATATCATTCTACTTTAGTTTGTTTAATTATATTCCATTTGTACCTGTACTAAATCTTGGCTGAGGAGAAGGATCAACTGTAGATGTAAATGCTGTATCAAATATATCTGCTAAAGAAGTAGAATTTGCTTCCATAGGTTGTGTTGCAGATTCTCCATGATATAAGCTATTCTGCTCTTCTGCTTTAGTTTTACACCAAACTTTTTCTGAGCCTGTACTTTCATCCATCCTAGTTAAAATCATTGATTATTTAATAATTATATGTAAACAAATGTAAAAGATCTTTATGTGCCTCATATTGATATTTGGATAAATTTTCCAACCACTCAACTGACTATCATATAGGAAAATAAATAATTAACTGGTACATTAGTAATACAGTAATAAACAAACTAAAATAATAAAATGTTATAAATGTATAATATTTAAAGAAGGTAAAAGTATATATGTTATTCATTTTTGAAAATGAATATATCTTAAATACATACAATATATATCAATACATGCATGTCACGTAACATATAATAATATATCGAAAAATTCTTTTTATCACATGAGTCAGGTTACTTACTACAGTTTATAGTCTTACGAAAATAAAGCTTTTTTACCAGAATATTCGAAGCGGTTGGCAATTTATGTAAATTTCACTAATTCCTTCACAAATGGCTATTGTAATAATAAAATTAAAGATTAAGAAAACACAAGTACCTTGCAATTCCTTCGATGGTTTCGTAAAACGATAAGGCTCTTCTCACCACGTCATTTTTATCAAGATATTTATTTTCTACACATCACTGTCATCATGTAGTATTATTTATGCACGAAAATATTACTTAAATAACCGTATTACTTGAAATTTTTACGAATAGTTTAATCCATATAAAAATTTGGATATAATTAAATTCTTATATCAGTAATAACAATAAAATCGAAGGAGAATTTACGTAGACTTTCTTTCAGTAATCTACATTTGGCAACTATGATACCATCAATCGTAACTTTCATTAACTACGCTCAATTTTAGACAGTCTCAGTTGATTATGTAGCATACTACCTTTCCAAGACTGAGAACAATCATTACGTTTGTTTTCAACTATAGTATGTATTTTACTATTAATGTAATATTTTTTATCTCCTTCTTAAGAATTTAGTGTACTCTTTTTCTTGTCAAATTACTTTAATTTTCACATTATACTTTCTCCTGAAAAAACTCAGTTTTATGAATGAATATTCAATATACTTAAGTACATTTTGTAGAATATATAGAGGCAAAGTTAATTTCCCTATGTTTTTGTCAATAGTCTGGTAAAAAATTAATAAAATTATGTTCCTAGTAATCTCTGTAATTCAAAATAAATTTTAAATATCCTTTACATGTTCATAATAAATAATATAAAAAGAATTTTTTATTGTCAAAATTTCAATAGAATTTATGTGTTAAATATATAATATTTTAGTCTTTATCAAACATTTTATACAAACAAATAGAACAAATGTCAAAGCAGAATTGTCGAACTGCCTCCCCTAATGCTAGTGACTATCGATCAGCTTTTCCCCATTACCTCTATTCCAGGGGCTGCCCGAGACTGTATGTGAACAGTTTGTGATGTTTCAAAATACAAATAGGGGAACGTAAGTATGGAGAGGGTTAACGCTCCATGAGGGGAAAGTCACTGTAAAACTCGCGAGCTCCTAGTCCTGTTTTAAAGAACTATTTTGAAGATAAAAGTATGTAAATTTTTAATTACTAAATTTTGTTCTTATAGACATTTTTTCCACAGCTTATCAAACCGTTATTAATAAACATATTTTTACATTGAAAATCAGACCATAAAAAGATATTCGTAATTTCATTGACCAATCGGTTTCATACTCAATATTCCTGTCACTTGACAAGTACGTAACGAATTCGTGGAAGCAGATACATGCGATAACTGTACACTTCGTTCGTGTATTTTCTGTCGACAGTACAGAAGTTAGCCTTCTCGTTAGTCCACAGAAGTTAGTCCTCTTAATGGTAGTCCTTCAATAATTTAATTTTGTTTGTTATCAATTTTTAACAGATATATCAATTAAAAACATGGCTGTGGCGGTCAGAACATTTTCAAAATTTACAGGTAAGCTACAAACAATTGCCATATACCCTGTATTCTGAAAATTAAATCCTTATACATTTGAAGAGTTTAAATTCATATTTGTAAAATATTGCAAGATTTCACACCCATACATGTGATTTCTGTCGTTATTTTAGAAACTAAAAATACACCTGACATCCCGCGTTTACGTTCATACTCCATTATGTAAGGACACGTATAATTATTCGTAACTCAATCTTTGTAGAGAAGCACTTTTCAATTAACTGTCTAGTCAATGTAAATTTGCTCCAGTTTAATAATTAATCATTACGCAGTTCCATATTAAAATCTTTCCTTTTCGAGTATTTGCCCCATAATGTATATCTTATTTCATAATTCATTTTTTATTTCTTATCTATTTGTTCACTAAATATATCACAAATTTTTTAATGGCTATTATTTTTCATTTTTATATTATATACAATGATTTAAATGTTTCTTTGTATAATTATCAATTTTTATATCTGTCATATCAAATGTCATACCAATCAATTAGACATCATTGAATGATATACATTTAATGAACCTTGACCCAAAAGGAAAGAAATTTGATATTGTTACTATAAATAGCATCTGGCTCGTGACAATACTAGTATGAAATATATTTCTTTCATAAAGCAACATGTGATACATTCTTTTAATACCTAATAATATATGACTTAAACATAATGCTTCGGATAGAAATTATTCTTCGATAAAAGATTTCTGAATAATACATTTTCTATGGTTTTTAATACTAAAAGTCTTCTTTCCTATTTCAGTCAGAAATTGTGGAAATCTGTTACGTTCCCAAGTAAGATTCAATTATACAGAAACTAGAAAAAATTTAAAGATTGATTCCAATACGAAAGTCATATGTCAAGGTTTTACTGGCAAACAAGGAACATTTCATAGTCAACAAGCTATTGATTATGGTACTAAATTAGTAGGAGGTGTTAGTCCTAAAAAAGCTGGTCAAGAGCATCTTGGGAGACCAGTGTTCAAAACTGTAAAAGAGGTTTGTAAAGAATATCTGTCTATTGTTATCTTCCTGAACTTCAATTTAAAAAATTAGAAAAAATGAATAATTTTAAATTTATAAATTTAATATTTATTTCTAGGCTAAAGATGCTACTGGTGCTACTGCAACAGTTATCTATGTACCTCCACCAGCTGCAGCAGCAGCTATCATGGAGGCCATAGATGCTGAAATGCCACTTATCGTATGTATCACAGAAGGTATTCCACAACACGATATGGTCAAAGTAAAAAGGCGACTTTTAGAACAAAACAAATCTCGTCTTATCGGGCCAAACTGTCCAGGAATAATAGCCCCAGAACAGGTATAGATATTCAAAATGTATAATGCAATTAGTATATAGATATAATTAACTTGCCAATTATTTTTTTATTACTTACTGTTTTAGTGCAAAATAGGTATTATGCCAGGACATATACATCAAAAAGGAAAAGTTGGTATTGTATCAAGATCTGGAACTTTAACGTACGAAGCTGTGAACCAAACAACCCTTGTAATTAAATAATATTCATTTTTTGAATTAAGTTACTTCGAAATTAATATAAAATTAAGCTTACAATAAAATATAATACATTTCATACAGAACAATGTTATTTTAAGGCTGGACTTGGGCAAACACTGTGTGTTGGTATTGGTGGAGATCCATTTAATGGGACTGACTTTATTGATTGCTTAGACGTATTCCTCAGAGATCCAGAGTGTGATGGTATCATGATGATTGGTGAAATCGGTGGAAGTGCAGAGGAATCAGCAGCAGAATATTTGATCGAAAAAAATACTGTTGGTTGCAGTTCTAAATTATTGGTATCCCTTATCCCAACCTATCCTAATAATCTATTAATCCTTTATCTGTCTTAATACTAAATTTAAACCTATTGATCCTTGCCAAGATTAGTTATTAATATATTGATATGTATACAAATATTATATACTCTACATTATTTCAGGGCCCTAAAGTCAAACCAGTTGTATCATTTATTGCTGGTATTACTGCCCCACCTGGACGAAGAATGGGTCATGCTGGCGCAATTATTTCAGGAGGAAAAGGTGGCGCGCAAGATAAAATTAATGCACTCGAAAAGGTATCATTATAATTTAGTGTAAAAACTGAAATGTATCGAATATCTTACCAAACTTTATCGCCAAAATATCTTTTTGCTTAAGATTTAAAATTTATTCTTATCTCAATAAAATAAAATATTTTTTACAGGCTGGTGTAATAGTAACAAGGAGTCCCGCACAAATGGGAAATGAACTTTTAAAAGAAATGACCCGTCTCGGTTTAGTCTGCAATTAAAAACACGCCACTATAAAGATATGTAGTTTGCCTCATGTGCATGTATCCTCAAAATAAATTGAAAGTAATTCTGCGATAATTTAAAAAACGAAAGAATATAATGCATAAAAACATGCAAAGTTGTCTGATTAAAAAAAGGAACTATGCTCATTGTTGTAAAAATTTGTCAAACTATTTTATTCCTGAACATCAAATTTACAGAAAGGCACTGGAACATTTTTTTTAAAGAACTGAATTTATTTTAACACTGTACAGTGTTTATAAAATATTTCTATCGATGTAGTTTTTATTTTTAACAATAACAAATATCCAGGGATAACATAGAATGAAATATTAACTGCCATTACTCCGTCACGATTTTCTTCATCTTGAAATTATAAATTTTTCTATGTTATTATAACTCTAAATCATAATTTTATGAAATAATTATTTAAGAGAATCTTCCCATTGTAAATTACGTTAAAACTACATCTGTTATAACTAATAACAATTATAATATATACTCATATTGTAAGTCATGTTTAGAAACTGAAATACATAAAATTATATTAATTGTTCATTTGATATCCTCGTTTTTAACAAATAAAATATCTTATAATTATATTATAATATGATTAAAATCTTCCAAACATCATGTTTTATTTGAAAATCCCATTATTTGATCAATAAATTCAGCGATATGTTCGCTTTTGTTATTAATGTATGGTTTTAATTGAGAAAAGTCCATAATTTGGATAGTATTTAACAAAGTTTCGCAGGAACTATAATATAAATGTTTATCTGTACAAAGTTGCTCTGCTAATTCCAGTTGATGGTTATGCATCAAACTTTTATTTGCAACTACAATCAAATCTTTTTTATTCTCCAGAGCATCAAGAATACTTCCTGCTCCTGCATGACTTATGATAAGATCTGCAGCTTTTACATACTCCGATATATTCGAATTCAAATTAAAATATTCAATTTTAATGAAACCATTTCGTGGTGTACAATCTGGTATAAGAGTAGATTTGCCAATTTGTAAAACTAGCTCATTGTACTTCTTCAATGACAATGCCTAAAATAAAAATATATATACAGAATAATAAATGTAAATGCAAACACTTAAATGATTTTATTGTTTAGAGATTTGACAGATAATGAAAAGGTAGTTTGACTTTACTCAAACATATTTATGTCTATAAACAATAAGGATATGCAAGTTTTCACATTTACATATTACACCTTTAGTATATATAAATTGTGCTCTGTATATGTACTAAAAATAAAATATTGTAAAGAATGCTTTTCTTGTCTTTTACCTCTAAAATTTCTGTGCTAAGAATTATTTCAATTAATTCATCGAATTTGGTTGTACCAACAGTAACAAATACTTTTTTCCTTGACAGTGCCATTTTAAGGAAACAATAACATAAGAACCTTTAATATTAATTGTAATAATAAATATTATTTTTCCTTATTTATGCAGTAAAAATTTGAATTGATGCGAATAACAATCAATATGTTAATAAAATAACATTTTTTTAATTTTACATTCTATAGAAGATGTTTGGTTAGGAAAACAATAATATGACGTAAGGTTTCATACTTGCTACACGTTGGTTTGAGTAGTACTGCGAGTGTTAATAAAAACATGCCAGCTAAAGTGAAAAATAAGATACTAACATATGAAGGTTGCAATTACATTCGGTATCGTTTGCTATTATCTACACTTTCGGGCAAACCCGTGCGAATAACAGACATTAGAATTAAAGATGATGATCCTGGGGTCAGAGGTTAGCTCAAACACATTATTTATTATATGTATAAATGTATAATAATTGATATATGTATAATAATACATGATAATTAAAAATGGGATAAAAATTTCAAGTAAATGTTATGTTGAAGAAACATTGTTTTCATTTTTAATTAAATCTAGAAGATATGTAACATCTCTAAAGAATTAAAATATATTTTTATTAAAATTATTACTAATTATTATTAATAAATTATTACTAATTAATTATAATAATCAAATTTATAATTATTTAATAAACACTTTATAATTTATTATATGTTTCTCTATTAGAATATGAAGTAAGTTTCATACGTTTATTGGATAAAATTACAAATGGATCAAAAATAGAATTAAATGAAACTGGAACTAACTTATATTATAACCCTGGTTTATTATATGGTGGTGATATAGAACATGATTGTAGTTTGCAACGAGGTATTGGTTATTATTTAGAAGGTATTATGATATTAGCTCCATTTTGTAAAAGAGCAATTGATATAACACTTAAGGGAGTAACCAATAATACAACAGGTAAATAAATAATTTATAGCAAAATTATATTTATAGACTATTATTGTAACCAGGAATTTTTAAAAAATGATGATAACAATCATGTAATTTCATTTTTAAGATCCATGTGTGGATAGAATTAAAGCAACTGCTATACCAATATTAAAAAGATTTTTATCAGGAGATAATGAAGTTACACTTAATATTATTAAAAGAGGAGCAGCACCTCTTGGTGGTGGACAAATTAGTTTTAAATGCCCTGTTAGTCGTAATCTCAAAACTGTCCAAGTTAGTATTATTGTTATAAGTAAAAAGATATTCATGTCTTTAGTATTTCATATCAAAACTGGTTTTTGAAGTTTCAGAATAGTGGAATGGTAAAACGAATAAGGGGCACTGCATGTAGCATACGTGTTTCACCTGCTATTGCTAATCGAATTGTAGAATCCGCTAAAGGTGTTCTTCTGAAATTCCTACCAGATGTTTATATTCATACGGATCATTCCAAAGGAGCATCTAGTGGAAAATCACCAGGTGCATATCCATAATTTTATACATAATTATAGTATCTAGGATTTTAGCATAGTTTAGGATATCTTTAAGAAGTATTACATGAATGCGAGGATGAGTGTGAGCAAAGAGCAATAAAAGAGGAAGACTCTAACATTCGTGAGATTGTTGAGAGTGTGAAAGAGAAAAATGCTTATGGGGGAAAGAATGATTTTTGAATGTGAATGTAAAAAAGGGAGTTTGGAGGAAAAAGTTGTACATTGGCCTTTGTGGCAATTAGTTATAGAGTTGTGTGTTGACCATCAAGGCAAGAAATTGTGTGTCGTACTTAGCCATTACCTAGTTTAGTAGTAATAAACACTTATATTTATTTAGTTTATATATTCCTGTGTTATTTCCGATTCATATACACTACATAACTTTATACACAATATATCTGCAATATAAAACAACGTAACAGGTTTTGGATTGAGCTTATCAGCCGAAACTACCACTGAAACAGTTTATGGTGGAGAAGCATTTTCACCTTTAATGACAACAGGTTCTTTACCTTGTGTGCCAGAAGATATTGGTAAAGAAGCAGCCATGAAATTGGTTGATGAAATTCATAGGTAAGAGAAACAATTTTATTTGATAAGAAAAATAAAATAATTCAAGTGCATTATATATATCTGTACTTTTAGAAATGGATGCATAGACTCACCATTTCAAAGCATGACTGCAATGTTTATGGCATTAGGTAAAAAAGATGTTTCCAAAGTTATAACAGGACCTCTGACACCAGCAATGTAAGTAATTATTACTCTAATTATTGAAATATTTGAAATGTCATAATGCATTTTATCTAAAAAGAAATACTATTTTCATAGGATTCAATTTTTACGCGATTTAAGAGACTTTTTTGGAGTAGTTTTTAAAATTGAACCATATAAAGAAGAAGATGAAATATTAGATCAAGTTATTTTAACTTGTGTGGGTGTAGGATATACCAACATAAGTAAACGAACGTTGTAAAATACTGTACTATATTTATATTTTCTTATATCTATTAATTTTATACTGTACAATAATAAAAAAATGTGCATTTTATTTTTAAACAAACTCACAAGAAACACGCTAGAAATATTTAAAAAATTATAATACAAATTTTTGTAAGTTAATTGGTTTGTTGGTCCACCCATGAAAACATTCCATTTTTAATGTATTCCACAAAGTTTGGTAATTTTTGGACCATTTTTTACAATCTAAATAAGTAATCTTTTTTGGATGTCGAATATTAGAATCAGGATTTTGATACTTGTCACAAATCTTCAAAAATGTTTCAAAAAGTGCTCGTCTCGTTGTAAGTAGATAACTACCTTTTTTTCTCTTAGTAGTTCCTTGCTTTCTACCTTCAACCGCAACCTCTGTGTTTCTATGAAATTATTAGTTATTTTAATTTTTTAATATAAATTACAATCTTAGTGGGAAGATTATATGACAATTACCGATGTTTCACAGCACACCAAATAATACTTGATGGACAAGGTTGTTTTCTTTCATGACATTTTTGTTGTTTAAAAGATATTTGAGTTTGCATAATTTTTAACTTGTACGTGTTTTTATTAAACCGTTTGTATAATCCACGTTCCATTGCTTCTAAAGATAAAGGACATCCTCCTCCAACTATGATGGTTTCTATTCTTATTGGTGGTATTAATATGGATAAAAGTGCACCCTGTAATCCAAGTATATTCCATCTAAAAAATATACAAATAATACTTACCATCCATAAGCATCATATGTAAAAGTAACTAGAGTTTTTATGCAATTATTTTTACTTTGCTATTTTATCCGAACAAGACAAGCTAAGAGTAGGATTACCCCTTCCTGGTTTAGTACGCAGTGGTCCCACCACGTGATAATTTATTCCAGCTAGATGAGGATCTTGGTATTGTTCAGTTTTAACGCATTTTGCACCGGTGCGATATATGTCCCTAACGTTTTGTTTTTTTTGTTCATTATTAGTTGAGTCTATAACTATATCTCCGGCATCACTAAAATCATGTTTCCTAATTTTGTTGGGTGGTATATCATTTTCATAAAATTCTTCTTTCAGAAATATAGAACAATCTCCACAAGGAGTTTGACTTGTAAAAAAGTGGAATGATATTCCATCATTTAGAGTAATTTTTTTATTCTCATCTAGAGTAAAGACATCACTTTTAGCACCATTTAACAATAAATCAATTTGTTCATATAAGTATCTTAAAAAGGCACGTCTAGCTAAAACTTCAGCATGAGAATCATTTAATCTAAAACCTTCTTCATACAATTCCGTGTTTATTAAGTCCATTTCCCCTAAACACTTTGTTCCAGTTGCGAGGGCTACTAATGATAACGAATCATTTTGTCTTTTCAAGACTATACCGGACAGTACAGTCCATTCTTTTTCTGATGGTTTTCCATTTTTACCAAGCTTTGTATATTTTTCTATACAAAGCATTGCAACCTGTTCTGCAAAATCTGTCATACTACCAATAACATAAAAGTAAGTATCAATTAATAAGGCAATTGTATATTTACATGTAATAAATTACTTCTTCATTGGTTAGCACACATTAGATGGATCCCAAGCATATTTATTTTGAGTTAAAGAAGACAAAGCTTTCATATCTTCTTCATCAATAGTAAAATTTAGTTGTATATTATCTCTTATATGTTCCTTTCTCACTGCTTTAGGAATAATACCTATACATAATAACAATGTTGTGTAACATATGTTTATAATATACAAAAATAGATTGCAAAAAGGTACTGTTATAAACAAGTATTGGACAATTACTAATACATCTTTTTATACTTACCAATTCCTTGCTGCAAAGCCCATTTTAATAGTAATCGTGCTGGAGATACATTAAGTTGCGAAGCTATTTTGATTACAACTGGATCTTTTAACAAATTGGAATTACTACTAGTTCCTAGAGAAGAATACGCTTGTACGTGTATGCCTTTTTCATTGCAATAATTAATCAATTCTGTTTGTCGATAATGTGGATGACACTCAACCTAGATGTCATATGAAAATATTTTTTATTTATATATTTATATATTCTGTAACCTAAGCAAAGTATGTAGTTATCTTACTTGATTTACAGCTGGTGATATACCTTTGCAATCTTTCAACAATTCTTCCAGATGCCCTATAGTATAATTTGATACCCCTATGGACCTTATGAGGCCTTGCTTTTGTAATTCTACAAGTTTATTCCAAGTTTTTGCACGTAAATTTGGATTATTTGTAGAATTTTCTGGTATACGAGTTGCACCTGGCCAATGAATTAAATATAGATCAAGGTATGTAGTATTAAGTGCTTCAATAGATTTTTTTACAGACTGTTCTATTCCTTTTGGGTTTCCATTTTCACTTGGCGCTACCAAACAAAAATAAATAAGACTTGTATATTTTCTACACCAATATTGTATGTGTTACATTTACTTTTGATACATACAAAGTTTAGTTGTGATAAAAATATCACCTCTCTCAAGATTATATTTTGATAATAAATTTTTTAAAGCATAACCAATATCTCCTTCATTTCTATATACTACAGCTGTGTCTATAAAAAATAATAAAATATTAAACTCTTCTAGAATTTATGTATATCTACATATCTTTTAATAGTATATAGTTTTTTTACCAATAGAACGAAAACCTGCTTTTAAACTTTCATCAACAACTTGATATATAGTATCTCTTCCTTGAATTTTGTAAGTTCCAACTAAAATCAATTTAGAATGTAATACTTTATAACACATATATCAACATTTTTGTTTAATTTATATCACACTAAAACTTATAAATGTGAATAATAATCTTACATCCGATGAGGGGCATAACATAGCCACTTGAAAGATGAATATTTTGCATTGCACAAAAATGTAAAAAGGTCGCCCAAATTACGATTAAGTATATTTTTCTACAATGCCAAATTGTTAATTGTGTTTCTTTTAAATCAGTATTCTAAAACAATAATTTTTGACTACTGTTTTCGTAATTGATATTTATTGTTTCACACGTCATAGAAAAAGTGGTTGATAGTTTTATAGTGCCATCTATAACAACTGTTTTTACAATTTACAAATTACAATTTTACAAATTGTAATCCTTGGTATCATGATATTTTTATTATATGTACAAAAATTCCTATCGTTGGATGTTCGTCCATATGTTACCGTAAAAGTAAATAAAAAATCCTTAGTGTAAACAATTTTTTATTTAAATAAAATTTGAATGTAACATCGGTGATACATCATGCAGAAAAATTTGTGGTAAAATTAAGCCATTACAGATTTTTCTATAATGTATTATTATTGCCACTAACAACAGTGTAACATAGGGAGTATATTATATCTAATACTTATAGTAGCAGGAAATGTGATGAGGGAGAAAAAATCTTATTTACAAATGTTTCAAACAAAACTTTAAGAAATTTCATACATTTTTATTGTATTCTGGTAATCAAATGACACTTTATTGCACAATGTAACATGAGTTTAACATATATAAATCATATTAGAAAACACTTCAATTAAATAAAATTATAAGGTTTTTTATTTCCACATGTATCACTACTTACAATTCGTCTTTTTCGATTTGGAATTCACTCTATCGGATATACGGATTGGGGAGCAAGGAGAAACATCCAGTCGCCGCGCTCGGTCCAATTATTACAACGGCTTAGTTTCAGCACGTCTTTGTTACTGGTCGAGCAACGGGACGAAAAAAGCAGTCGGCCAATAACAAGGACGTGCCGAAACTGAGCCACCATACAATTGGATCAAGACGGGTGAGTGGACGCCTCCTTTTGATTCTGTGCACTTTTAAACCATTAACAGACAGTACTGCGAAAGGCGAATAGTAGGTACATGGAGGTGAGGACAGAAATGATTGTGGCGTGTTTCTTTATTCAATATATTATTTATTTACAATGTTCACTAGATTATAATGTTGAAATATTTATCGACCCACTTCTATGACGGCTTGTTTCTAACTATTTACAAAAAGAAAACGATATCTAATAACAAACAGAAATTGACTTTATCTACAAGTAGAAAATTGGCTACATAGTTGATTTGGTGGCGTCGCCTAGGTGAAATAATTTGGTACTATTTAGCTAGAAGTTTAAGCGATCTCACACTATATGGCGCCACCAATCCAGGACAAGGATGTGGGGTTTATAAAAATTATTTCTTTTTTAATTATTATCTTAACGGTTTTTTAATAGATTCAGCACAACTACTCTATGTTATTAATGAAACACTTATTAAATATTTAACAATGAATAATTTATTATAACATTTGGATTTATTACATAAAGAAAACATTTCACTCTGTTCTGAATTTTGAAAAGAAAAAACAAAATCCTAGAGTCAACATTCCTGCTGTTTACCTGCTTCGTGATTCCTCGTGAAATCCTTCGAACCTTAAATCTACGAATACCGGTAATGGGTCATGTCTAGGCTAACCGACTCATATGTTCATCGGTCGTAGTTATACAACTGTGGCCTTGGTAGGGCTAGACTTTTTTACGGGATCGCTGTCGTAGAGAGAGAACTCGGCACTGATTTAAAGGAACAATTAGAAGAAATTATTTCACATAACAACCGTCGTGTATCGGCGCGAACGTAATCTAATAACACGAAAACAGAATGTTAAGTGTCGTGATAATGTTCGAACCATTTAACTTTATAATATCATTTGCACGGCCACTGCGTAGTGGAACTAGATTAATTAAATTAAACAAGAGTGATGGTATTTCACGAGAGACGCTACGTCCGAGTCTTTTCGCGTCCTGACGAACAAGGGACCAGAACAATATTCTGCTACAATATTTCAAAGTTCGCGTGCGCGTTACTACGCAACAGTGGCAAGGCGAGAGTCGTCGTTTTTAAACTTTGTGCGCGTAGCTGCGAGAATGCTGGCACGACGGCGCCACAGATTCGAATGCAAAACCAGCCTAAGTCGATATGACAGGGCGTGACACAAGAAAGGTAAGGGAGTCCTAGGACCTTCGAGAGTGTGTGATAAAATTTTACATCGCTTGTTATGTCTATCCTATACCTCGTCTGTGTCGAGTGTCACTAGCTTGAGGAGAGGCAGTTTGATATCCCTGATCTAAACAGTGAAATGAGCATCTGTTTTACTACATAAATAGTTGGAATACTTCATGGCAAAATGTCTTCATTCAATTTTGACAGTTGACATTTAAAATTTTATCGAATGTAAACTTTAAGATATTTTTGAAATTCATATAAACACATGTAAATAATTTTTAGTCTTGGAGAAAATAATGTATTCTAATATAAAAGCTGGAGTAGCTAAAAGGGACGAGTGTTCAATAAAACAGACTTCTCAAACGGCTAGTGAGGTTACGAAAGAAAAGGAAACTGATATCAGTCGTTATTTCGAAAATGCATCCCGAACAATTTTTGATGAAATTGTTCCATCTAAGAAAGATGATCTTCCTGATGTGCAGAGAAGTTCTATGAGTAGAATTCCAAATTTCGAATTATTGGGTGATCATTCAAGTGAATTCTTAAAGATTGACACATTGCTTGACAGCAAACGATTTGATCACAGTGCAATGAGTGATACGCATAGAGATGTTTGGATACCTTCTGATCAAACGCGGAAAGTTTTACGTAGTATTGCCACATCAACTACTGGTTCTAATTCTCTTGAAAGAGAACATTTAACAATGCCAGGGTTGGCAATACAAGGAGACATGCCTGATTTAATAAAAAGTACTGCAATTCACTTCTTAGGCGAAGATGAAAATATTCATAGAAATGTGCTTACTGCTTCTGATGTAACACAGGATGAGCGTGGCTTAAGAAATTTAATACAAGCTGGTTGTTATAAAGCAGCAATAAATTTATCAGGGAAGCTTTTAGCTGTATATGCCCAAGGATATGGTAAAATAAATCAGCCTAGTAAACATACTCCACATTCACTGCAATTATGGTATACGAGGCTAGCTTTATTAGCTAAACTTAGACACATAGATGTGTTGGAAAATGAGTCAAAACCATTTGGTAATCTAGATAAGCCTGATATGTATTTCACATTTTACCCTGATTTATATGGTACCAGGCCAGGTTCTATGGCTTCTTTTTCTTTTAGATTGCTTTTAGCAGAAATACCTTTGTATTGTGGTAAACCTAAACAAGCATTGGATAATTTGTACAAAGTTCTAGCCACAGTAAATCAAATAATAGTAAATTTTAATACTGGATTTAGTGGAGATGGATCTCGCATTACAGTAAATGCAGTAGAACAGGAAGATGCTGTACGATTATGGAAGGGCAGAAGATCTAGAGTTTTAATATCAATTATCAATTGTGCAGTTAATATGAAAAATTATATACTAGCCATTGATATTTTGGAACAGTTATGCGATTCTCCAGACTGGTTTCCTGAACAATTAGATGCACTGAAATCTAGTATAGGAAGGCTGCATCTGTTTTTAGGAGATGTTGCAACTGCAGAAAAGTTACTCATCAAGGAGCATAAACAAGACCATACTCCAACTGTTAGAGAATGGATGGATAAAGGATTAATGGCTGTAGCACGTAATTCTTTTCAAGAAGCATACAACTGCTTTAAAGCAGCAGCTACATTGGATCCTTCCAACATTGCATTAATTAATAATATGGCTGTTTGCCTTTTATACACAGGACAATTGAAAGAGTCAGTGCGTTTATATGAAAGTGCAATTAAAGAGAATCCTGTGAAAAGTTTGCAAGAACCTATACTATTAAATGTATGCAGCGCATATGAACTGCATACAACTCACTGTGAACAACCTAAATTGCATCTATTGAGGCAACTAAATAGATATAAAGGGGATGCTGTAGATATACAGTGTTTGAAACTTGCTCTGTGAAGTTAACATTAATTTTAAATAGAAACTATTTTATTCGTCCATTTATAAAACGTGATAAAAGGAGATATTTAAATTTGTTATTTAATTACAAAAATTAATGCATTAAGCAACAAATATGTAAAGTTTATTAAATAAAAATTAATTTCAATAAAGTTTGAAAAAAATTATATAGCTAAATTTTTTTATATTTTCTGTCCTTTGAAGGTAGATATAATATTCATAAATTGTTACTAACATTTATTTTATATGAAAAATATACAAAGAGGATTTACAATATATTGTAAGCCCATAGCCAGACCTTTAACTTATAAATATTGCTGTAAAATAGCTAGCAGCATTTTATGTGTTTCGATAATATTTTAATGTTATTTCATTATTAAATTTAAGCTCAGTAGATCTTGTCTTAGGGGCTTTTTTATCAGTCTGTTTACTTCTTGTCACAAAAACTTTTTTTCGCCAGCTTTTTGAAATTGCATGCAAATCTGAACGTTCGTATATTTAATAGAATTTTTTATTGTAAAGATCGTTTAAAAACTCATTCTACAACTTGATTCTACAAATCGAACATCTATATTTTTATATATCATACTTAAAATTGCAATAATTTAGAATTCTGTTGTCATTTGAAAGGAAACAATATACTCGATAAGTATGAAGGTAAAATTTGAATGTTTCTTCAGTAGGCAATCTTGATAGTCATAATATTTTCAAATCAAATTCAAGAAAAAACCTCAATTTACTGCATGTTACACTTCTTATATGCGATCATTTATAATAAAAACACACGTGAAATTTAGTTTTCTTTAAACAAGATACAAAATATTATTTTAACTCGTGAATAACAAATGTATTTGATATCATACTTACTATAAATGGTATCGCTGTATTCAGAGATTCAAGGAATAGAATAATAAAAGCAAGGTACTGAACATCAATATCAAAGTAAAATAGCCTTTATTACATCGTGAAACGAGGACAATTTAATGAACGTTCAACAATTTCTAGAATTCTCTTTCACTCTCTCGTTCGTCACTCACGCATACAAGCATTCTTTTATACTCTCTCCCTCTCTTTCTCTCTCTCTCTCTCCCTCTCCCTCTCTTTCTCTCTTTCTTT